TACATTTTTATACTTTCAAGCTGTTCTATGAATTTTTTTTTTGCCATAGGGCACAAGCAGTTGCCAGAGAGAGCTAGAGAGGGAAGATGAGAGATTACCTGCGGGGGGCGGGGTTGTGATCATAGCGCAGTCCCTTCTCAATTCCTTTCAAGATTTTGCACACGTGCACCTGCTGTGGTTTTCCAGCTGTCAGACATGTGGGGTACAGCACACCAACCCCCATGCCACTACTGGCCCCAAGTGTGCGATTTTTGTTTTTAACTCCAGGGGAAATGCTTTTTAAGAAAGAGTCCCAAAGCTACTTGTATTTCTGTCAGACTGGCCCTTTGCTCAGTGTGTTTCATTCAGTTCTCAAGTTCTCCTTTTTAATTTTTAATGAATTAATTTAGAATTTTGCCACAAGGCACGTGTGTTCAGTGGGGAGAGATGTCAGGAGAGAGAAAGTGAAAAATCTCCCTCTGGGGTGGCCACATCACCCCCCTTCTCCTCTCAGCAGTGGCCATGCATGCACAGGCCTCTTGTGTTTTCAAGGTGCCAGGGCCAGACAAACCCCACGCTGGCAGCCGTGTGGTGTACACATGCCTTAACTGCCACGCCCCTGCTGGCTCTCAGGGTCCACTTTTTTAAAATAATTTTTTAAAGAATTATTTACTTTATTATTATTATTTTTTATTTGAGTAGAGAAAACAGAAGGGACAGAGAGGGAAAGTGAAGAAGCAAGCCACCAGGTCTGGGACTTGAACCTTGGTTAGCCATGAGGGAGTCCAGCATCCAGTGCCTTAACCATCACACCACCTGCCAGCCCCCAAGCTCCACTTTTTAAAAAAATGACAGCTTTCACTGGAAGGATACAGAAGAAATGTAACAGTACCTTTTTACAAGGGAGGGAGAGATGATCATCTACTTTTTTTTTTTTTTTTTGCTATAGGGCATGTGCACTTGCCAGAAAGACAGAAACAGAAAGCAAGAAATCACCCCCAGGGGGGATGGCCACACCATAATCCCCTCTCCTCGATTCTCCTCTTGGGATCTTGGGCACACACGCACACGCGCCCATTGTGAGTTTAAGCCACCGGGTCTGGGACTCGAACCGAGCTCGGCTACATGGGAGTTCAGTGACCTAGCCATTATGCTAACTGCTGGTCCCTACTTTTTTTTTTTTTTTAAGAATTATTTATTTCATTTTATTTTTTTATTATTACTGTTTTTAAATTTGGCTGGAGAGAGAGAGAAAGGCAAAGTGAGACAGCAAACTGCCAGATCTGGGACTGAAACCACAGTTAGTCACATGGGAATCCAGTATCCTAGCCACCATGCCACCTGTTTGTCCCAGACCTTTTACATTTTTACTTTGTGTGTTTTTTGTGTATTTTAAATAGACTTATTCTTATATAAATTTTCACCTAAAAATGAGTGTACCTGGTATTTTGAAAAGTTATAATACTTAATGAAGACTGAGCTGGAGTCATGAATAACAGATGCCTTACCCACCCTTCCTCGGACACCAGGTGTGTAGGGTTCCCCTTATCTTAACCTCCTACCACCAGCTGGAACGGGCAGTTGGCGTAATGGCTATGTCGCTGGACTCCCACGTAGCCGACCGCAGTTTGAGTCCTAGAGCCCGGTGACTTAAACTCACACTGGGCACATGTGCATGCGTGCGTGCCCAAGATCCCGAGAGGAGAATGGAGGAAAAGGGATTGCAGCGTGGCCATCCCCCCTGGGGGGTGGTTTCTCACTTTCTATCTCTCTGTCTCTCTCTGTCTGTCTGGGGAGCGCACATGCCCTATAGCAAAAACCTCTCCAAAAAAAAATTTTTTTTATTTTATTTTATGTATTCATTAATTTAATTTGACTGGAGAGAGACACAGAAAGAGAGAGAGGGAAAGTGAGAAAGCAAGCCACCAGGTCCAGGATTGAACTATGGTCAGCCATTTGGGAGTGTTCAGCACCTTAACCACCGCGCCACCTGCTGGTCCCTTTTTTTTTTTTTTTAACTTTTAAAAACAATTTTTTTTTTTTTTGTGTTCC